GTACCTGGATGGGAGACCACCAAAAAAGTCCAGGGTTGCTACGCAGAGGCAGGCCATGGCAAACCGCCTCTGCTCATTGGCACACAGTTATTAACCCTGACCTGGATAGGCCTGGCTAGCCAAGTCTCAGAAGCTAAGCAGGGTTAGCCCCAGTTAGTAGTAGTAGCATTAGTTGTGTTAGTAGTGTTAGTGTTACAAGAAGGAGGAGGAGGAGGAGATTGGATTTATACCCCACCCTTCACTAGCCAAAGGAGTCTCGGAGTGGCTTACAATCTCTTTCAGAACATAAAGGAAGCCAGTGTTGGATCAGGCCAGTGGCCCCTCCAGTCCAACACTCTGTCACACAGTGGCCAAAAACACCAGGGGCCACCAGGAGGTCCAGCAGTGGGGCCAGGACACTAGAAGCCCTTCCGGTTGTTGCCCCCCCCCCAAGCACCAAGAAGACAGAGCATCACTGGCCCCAGTCATAATAACATATGAGAAGCCAGTGTTGGATTAGGCCAGTGGCCCCTCCAGTCCAACACTCTGTCACACAGTGGCCAAAAATACCAGGTGCCACCAGGAGGTCCAGCAGTGGGGCCAGGACACTAGAAGCCCTCCCACTGTTGCCCCCCAAAGCACCAAGAAGACAGAGCATCACTTGCCCCAGACATAAGAACATATGAGAAGCCAATGTTGGATCAGGCCAGTGGCCCCTCCAGTCCAACACTGTCACACAGTGGCCAAAAACACCAGGGGCCACCAGGAGGTCCAGCAGTGGGGCCAGGACGCTAGAAGCCCTCCCACTGTTGCCCCCCCAAGCACCAAGAATACAAAGCATCCCTTGCCCCAGACCGAGAGCTCCTTCCTATACCTTGTGGCATGTAGCCACTGATGGACCTCTGCTCCATATGTTAATCCCTTCCGCTTCCCCTCCCCACAACAGACACCCTGTGAGGTAGGTTGGGCTGAGAGAGCTCTTTCGAGGACTGCTCCTGAGAGAACAGCTCTGAGAGAACTTGTCACTGACACAAGGCCACACCAGCAGCTGCATGTGGAGGAGTGGGGAACCAAACCCGGTTCTCCCAGATTAGAGTCTGTGTTCGTAACCACGACACCAAACTTGCTCTCCCAGTATTGCTAGTACTGGGATGGGAGACCGCCAAGGAAATCCAAGGTTGCTACGCAGAGGCAGGCAATCGCAAACCACCTCTGAATGCCTCTTGTCTTGCCTTGCAACAGCAGGATGAAAGGACACCTGTTCAAGGAACAGAGGAACAGGATCCGACACATGAGGTGGTTCTGGAGGGAGTTTGCCTCAGCTCGGCAGAGGCTCTATTTGATCTCCATTTCTTTGTTATATTTTTACCCTTCCTTACCTCCAGGGATGCTGACATTACCTTCTCCCCCCCCCCTTCCCTCTCTTATCCTCAACAACTACCTTGGAGCCCCAACAAACTGACCCATTTCCATCTGGTTTCCTCCCTTGTTTTGAACCCAAAACTGCCTCAGGGGCCCTAACTGAGAGATCACCTCAGCTGGCAAAGATGGGGAGGGATTGGAGAGCCAGTTTGTTGTAGTGGTGAGGAGTGCGGACTCTAATCTGGGAGAACCGGGTTTGATTCCCCACGCCTCCACGTGCAGCTGCTGGAGTGACCTTGGGTCAGCCACAAGTTCTCTCAGAACTGTTCTCTCAGGAGCAGTCCTCAAAAGAACTCTCTCAGCCCCACCTACCTCACAGGGTGTCTGTTGTGGGGAGGGGAAGGGAAAGGGGATCATAAGACACTCCGAGACTCCGTTGGGTAGTGAAGGGCACGGTATAAATCCAATCTCTTATCTTCTCTCTGTTGATGCTTCAGCAGAACTTCGGTTGGCTGTTAGAACAGGAGCAATTCCCTCCTGGACAAGGAGGATTTTACCACAGCGACCCACGGCCTCAGCAATATACGGACGGCGTTTCTGAATTGCTCTGAATACACGCTTGACTTTGAAAAGGGCTCAAAAACTTCGGCTGACTCCAAATATAGTAGTCAGGCTGTACACTCTCTCTTTCCCCTGGGAATTAGGCAGGTAACTGGTGGACGAAGGAAATCTTTTCTGATTCCACCGTGGCCTCCCCTCTTGAGAGATACATATTCAGTACCAGCTTTGTCATCTGATACAGTTTATAGAGTTTCCCCAGGGAAGCTTCTTTAGGCCCTCGTTTTACACGCCAAAGTCGCATATCCCTCAGTCAGATGTTAACACATAGGGTTGCCAGGTTTTGAATTGGACCGTTCGGCATTTCCCCCTTTCCAAATGAAAAAATACCAAAGAAGAAGAAAAAGAGAAGAAGAGATTGGATTTATACCCCGCCCTTCACTACCCAAAGGAGTCTCAAGAGCGGCTTACAAACTCCTTTCCCTCCCCCTCCCCACAACAGACACCCTGTGAGGTCGGTGGGGCTGAGAGAGCTCTGACAGAGACTGCTCTTTTTCAAGAACAGCTGTGCCAGAACTGTGGCTTGCCCAAGTTCATCCAGCAGCTGCCTGTGGAGGAGTGGGGAATCAAATCCAGTTCTCCCAGATGAGAGTCCATGCACTTAACCACTACACTACACTGCCTCTCGAGCCTAGAAATGTCCGAGCCTAGAAATGTCTGGTAGTTTCTAACGAAGTAGGCCTGCGACCAAGTTGCACGCTGGGGTCTTTTTGACAACTCGATTTCTTTCATTCGAGCCCGTCTTTTGGACTGCCCCATCCTCTCCAGGTCTCTTTGGGCCAAACTACAAGTCGGTTTCCCACAGCAGCTGCAGGGAACAACTTCTAAAAACCAAAGGGGGAACCCAAATTGGCTTGGAATGGCACCACGGTGTGTGTGTGTGAGAAGGGTCCCTACTTCCCCCTCAAGCCTTTTCCCATGCAAAAACCAGACTGCTTGTTATCTTGCTTGTCCCGCAGAGATCATAATACGATCAGGGATTCGGTGCTTTTGATTTTCGGAAGCTATCAACTATAAAGGAAGAACCGGTGTTAACTTTGTCTGCTGAATTTCTACCGTCTGGGCAACCATTTAAAAAACAGAAACTGCTGAAAAAATTGTGAAATGTAAATTTAAGAAAGAGCCGGAAATATTACTCCTGGGATTTAAAATGGAAGAAGTCAACATGGCAAAAAGAACATTGATGTGGTATATGATCACGACTGCCAGAATGACTTATGCTCAATGTTGGAACAAGATAAGGTCCCTGGAATTGAGGAATGGATAAAGAAACTACTTTTTATGGTTGAGATGGACAAGAGGACAAGAAAACTTAAAAACGTAGAGGCTGAAGAATTTTTTACAGACTGGAAAGACTTTAAAGAATATCTTGAGAAATATTGGGACTTTTTTTTTTAACAATATATTTTATTGATATAAAAAGATTTGAATATACAACTTTTAACAAGCATATTATGTTGAATCCGAACAATAACCATTGGTGGTCAAGTGCAATACAGTAAATCAATGTATTTCGAAGTTATTAAGATATAGTATTTACCTTTACAAGATAGAAATGTCAAAAGTACCATCTTAATGTCTTAGTTTTCTAAATACTGCTTTTCAACAGACAGGAGCAAGATTCGATGTATATTGAAGTTAATCCTTGTTATAATAGAACTGGTTACAATATTGGGACTTAAAGAACAACTTATTTTGCTTTGATAACTATTGAAAATTAGAAGATAAATATATAAAAGCAACAGTTAAAAGCAATGTTCCCTCTAAGCTGTGGAGTCTAGTGAGCAAAAATTCTACTTTGTGAGCTACTGGCATTAAAGTTGTGAGCAAGCGATTTGGCTACTGCATAAATCAGTTTGCTCTGGAGCCCTCCTTCCTGAGCTAAGACAAAAATGTGTGAGCCAGAGGCTAAAAAACTGTGAGCCAGCTCACACTAGCTCAGCTTAGAGGGAACACTGGTTAAAAGATAAGTTACCGGTAGATGAATAGAGAGGCAGAGAGGTTGGAAGTAACTTTAAGAACTGAGCTGGAGGTTGGAACACTGTGGGAAGCCGACAAGGGGTGGGAGAAAGGAGAAAAAGGATGTATAACAATATAAATGTTGATGTATGTTTGATTTTAATATATCCTAATACATTGTTTTTTGGGGGGAAACAACAACCAGAAACTGCTGTCTGTATCTGTATGTCTTTCATGACCGACTGAAGTTCTCCTGAAGCGCCAACAGAGAGTTCCTATCCCTCCATTACTATTTGAAATGCCAACTGCCCGGAGAAACATATACAGTGTGTGTGTGTGTGTGTTGTTGTGGATGTTATGGTATGGCATTGTGTGTAGTATAGCCAGGAGATTCTCAGATGGTCTGGCAGCTAGATGTTCTAGCTCTTTTAGCATTAGGCACCACTAGGTGGCGAGCTAGACTTGTTTTTAAGGCAAGAGATGTTTCAGAGGTGGTTTGCCATTTGCCAGCCTCTGCGTCACGACCCTGGTATTCCTTGGAGATTGCCCTTCCAAATATTAGCCAACACTGACCTTGCTTAGCTTCCAAGATCTGACGAGATCAGGCTCACCTGGGCTATCCAGGTCAGGCGGTGTGTGTTTAATAGTTATAATATGTCTTGTTCTCTCTCCATATATACATAACCTTAGAATCATAGAATCATCGAATGTTAGAGTTGGAAGGGACCTTGCCGGTCATCTAGTCCAACCCCCTGCACTCTGCAGGAGCATAGCCAAAAGATAGCCCTACAACATACCCGAGAGATGGTCGTCCAGCCTCCGCTTGAAAGCATCCAGCGAAGGAGCATCCACCACCTCCCGAGGCAGTCTGTTCCACTGCTCAACCACTCTTACAGTTAGGAAGTTTTGCCTGCTATTTAGCCGGTATCAACCCCCTTGTAATTTCCACCCCTTAGATCTGGTCTTACCATCCCGAGCAAGAGAGAATAGATCCGCTCCATCTTCTACATGGCAGCCCTTCAAATATTTGCAGACTGCAATCATGTCCCCCCTTCATCTTGACTTTGTTGTATCTTTCACAGACAAACACAAAAGGATGGATCAGAAGAAGGAGAAGGTCTCCGTTCCAATGACTAATATAAAGTGCCCTCCAGACCCCTACGCCCAGGGATATTCATCCTCGTACATGCCAGAATCGTACGCCCAGGAACCACAGACCAAAAAATCATACGGGAAAGGACCGCAGGCCTCGAAGTCATATGTCCCAGAACCACAGGCCCCCAAATCCTACACTCCAGGTCTTTATGAACCAAAATCATACACCCCGGATCCATATGGACCGAAATCGTATCGCTCAGATCCGTATGCGCCAAAATCATATAGCTCGGATCCATATGCATCAACGTCATATAGCTCAGATCCGTACGCACCAGAGCCTTCTGCACCGGAACACATCGAATTCTCAGGTATGTAGTAGTCCAAAATTGCAGTTGCTGGAATGCCAGATGCACCCAAGTCCCCGTAGGTGTACTTCTTACTGTCCTCGGATCCTTCAAAGTCCGTCGGAAGACCTCACACCCAATCCGTTTTGCCTTGGTTTCTGAGCACATCCCATTCTTCCGTTCTGCATCCCCTCCCACTTTCACTCCCAGTTTGTGCAGGGGTCATTTCATAGAAAAAGAGCTAGGGGAACTCATTAGCATAACTCATTAGCATACGCCACACCCCCTGACATCACCGGAAGTGTGTCATAAGGCCACATCCCTCCCTGGCCCCAGGCAGGCAGGGGTGGGGAGAGGCGGGGAGGAAGCAACTTAGGCTCCCTCTTCTCCTGCCTCCTCCTGGCTGAATGAGGGCCGGAAGCGGGGCGGCCGGAAGCAGGGGGCGGGGCTTCATCATGTGCCCCGCCCCCCGTACCTCACCTGGGGGAACTGCGATCCCCCCCGAAATGACCTCTGCAAGCGTCTGCATTCAGGCCGCTCCCAGCACACTGTTGCCCTGCAGCTACCGAAACTCCTTTTTGCGGCAGTTCCTCGTTCTCATCCGCTTTCGAATCGCTAATCCTTTCTAAAGTAGGATTGTTTCTGTGGGTATATAAGTGCTGCTCACCACCCTACCCCATTTCCGCCTCTCTCCCTTTAGGTTGACGCTCCTTCATAAGAACATAAGAGAAGCCATGTTGGATCAGGCCAGTGGCCCATCCAGTCCAACACTCTGTCACACAGTGGCCAAAAAATACCAGGTGCCACCAGGAGGTCCAGGAGTGGGGCCGGGACACTAGAAGCCCTCCCACTGTTGCCCCCCCCAAGCACCAAGAATACAGAGCATCCCTTGCCCCAGATCAAGAGCCCCTATCTATACCTTGTGGCTAATAGCCACTGATGGACCTCTGCTCCATATGCTTATCGAATTCCCTCTTGAAGCCATCCATGCTTGTAGCTGCCACCACCTCCTGTGGCAGTTAATTCGGTGTGTTAATCGCTCTTTGGGTGAAGAAGGACTTCCTTTTTATCTGTTCTGTTTTCTTTCCCTCCTTCTCCGAAGACAAAAGAGGATGCATCCTCCGGCTCAGGCAAACTTTTAAAAACCCAGAGAGAGCATAAGAAGGAATCAGTAAATGTAAAGGACGAGGGCCTGCTCTCAAATGTGTCAGTCATACATGTGTGGATTTCCCCTCTCCCTTTCTTTTTGCAGAATCAGGGAGGGAGTCAGGGAGGGAGGGTTCGGCAGTCAAGTACCTCACAAAATGTGGGTTTTGCTCGTAGATGCAGAATGCATACAGAATACACAAATAAATAAACCGAAGGGGGAAAAACCCGTGCAGAGGGAATGCGTGCGACTGCCTTAAGGCTTGACTCCTCGGATTCTCTGGAGCAAATTGTCATAAGAACATAAGAGACGCCAATGTTGGATCAGGCCAAAGGCCCATCCAGTCCAACACTCTGTGTCACACAGTGGCCAGAAATACCAGGTGCCATCAGGAGGTCCAGCAGTGGGGCCAGGACATTAGAAGCCCTCCCACTGTTGACCCCCCCCCCAAGCACCAAGAAGACAGGGCATCCCTTGCCCCAGAGCCCCTATCTATACCTTGTGGCTAATAGCCACTGATGGACCTCTGCTCCATATGCTTATCTAATTCCCTCTTGAAGCCGTCCATGCTTGTAGCCGCCACCACTTCCTGTGGCAGTGAATCCCATGTGTTAATCACTCTTTGGGTGAAGAAGTCCTTCCTTTTATCCGTTCTAACCCGACCGCTCAGCAATATCATGGAGTGCCCACGAGTTCTTGTTTTGTGAGAGAGGGAGAAAAGTACCTCTTTCTCTACCTACTCTATCCTTTCCCATGCATAATCTTGTAAACCTCGATCATGTCACCCCTCAGTCGTCTTTTCTCCAAGCTAAAGAGCCACAAGCGCCTTAACCTTTCCTCATAGGGAAAGTGTTCCAACACTTTTATCATCCGAGTTGCCCTTTTCTGCACTTTTTCCAAAGCTATAATATCCTTTTTCAGGTGTGGTGACCAGAACTGCACACAGTATTCCAAATGAGTCAGTGCAGAAGGGCCAACCAGAGAGAAGATTGCTCTGGAATCCTTCTCTAAAATTGGAGGGTGGAGCAGGGGTTGTCTCTGCGCAAAGGCTGGGTTGTTTCCGGGGGGGGGGGGGGACCCCCCAAAAGCTAATTTTTAAAAAAAAATTTTTCCCCCCCCCTTCCCTGCACTGACAGAAATAAGGTGATATGATAAAGATTCCAGGCTCCATGCGTGGGAAGAGAAAGCGTCCTTGCCCATCACCTGGGCACTAAGATGCTGCTGAGAATGTAGCTCCTTCCCTTGTTTCAAGCCATCTTTTCCCCTGCCGCCAGATCAACAAGTTATGTGCAAGTGAAGTCTTGGGTTGGGCCCCAGCTCCCCTCCAGCGGCTGGACTTCTGGACCCCAAAAGCGGAGCAACGTGGGTGGGGGGTCGATTTGTGTTTTTCGCCGAAGCCCACCTGCACCCCCCGCCAACTCTGCCTCCCCTCTTCTCTCTCTGGCTCTAGAAGACGGCTGCTCCTATACCATAGAAGTCACTGCTGGAGATTGTCCGTCTCCGCCGCCCTACTCGAGTGTAGACGTTTGCTGTGACAAAACAGGAACAGGTAGGTGCCAGAGCCCCTGCTCTCGGACTGGGGAAATCCGTGGGTTTAATTTGTTTCTCTGGTGTCTTTCTCCCCAATGGGTACCCAAAGGAGTTTACATCATTCTCCTCTCCTCCAGTTTCCTGGAGTGGTTAAGCGCGCGGACTCTAATCTGGGAGAACGCGGTTTGATTCCCCCACTCCTCCACTTGCAGCTGCTGGTGTGACCTTGGGCAAGCCACAGTTCTGTCAGAGCTGTTCTTGAAAGAGCAGTTTCTGTCAAAGCTCTCTCAGCTCCGCCTACCTCACAGGGTGTCTGTTGTGGGGAGGGGGAGGGAAAGGAGTTGGTAAGCCGCCCTGAGACTCTGAGTGAAGGGCGGGGTAGAAACCCAATCTCCTCCTCCTCCTCTTCTTCTCCTCCTCCTCCTCCTCCTCCTCCATGATATCCCAGGGGTAGCAGCTGCTGGGTGGGGTCTGGGGATCCCCTGGAATTATAGCTCATCTCCAGACTTCAGAGATCAGTTTTTCTGGAGAAAATGGCTGCTTTGGAGGGTGGACTCCATATGGCATCGTGCCCCACTGAGGTCCCTGTCCTCCCCAGGCTCCACCCCCAAATGTCCAGCAGTTTCCCAACCTGGATCTGGCAACCCTACCCCACCATACCCCCCCGGTGATCAGAGGGGACCGAGAAACCCTATTTTATCCTCACAACAACCCTGTGAGGTAGTTTAGGATGACCAAGTGTGCCACGGAGCGGAGATCTAACCTGCCACATCCCAACTCCCCATCTTCCCCGCTCTGCTACACCAGGCTTAGATTTAAGGCCTTTCCTTCCCATTGCGAGTGTGAGGGTGGCAGATGCTGTCAAGTCATAGAATCATAGAGTTGGAAGGGACCTCCAAGGTCATCTGGTCCAGCCCCTGCACAATGAAGGGAATCCACAAATACCTCCCCCCCACACACAAACAGTGACCCCTGCTCCACATCCAAAAGATGACAAAAAACCCCTCTAGGATCTCCAGCCAAACCAGCCTGGAGAATAATGGCTTCCTGACCCCAAAGTGGCGATCAGCATTTCCCCGGGTGTGTAAGAAAGGGCCACGAGAACTAAGTACTGATGCAACCCTTCCTGTCCTCCTTTCCCATGATCTGCCTGAGTTCACAGAATCCGCATTGCTGTCAGATGGCCATCGAGCCTCTGTTTGAAGACCTCCCGAGAAGGAGAGCCCACCACCTCCCAAGGAAGCCTGTTCCCCTAAGGAACTGCTCCGACTGTCAGGAAGTTCTTACCAATGTTTAGCCGAAAACATTTCCGATTTGATTCCCAGCTGACTTTTGGCGACCCCATAGAGTTTTCGAGGCAAGAGATGTCCCGAGGTGGTTTTGCCATTGCCTGCCTCTGCATCCCGACACTGATATTCCTTGGAGGTCCAAGTACTCACCAGGGCCGACCCTGCTTAGCTTCCGAGATCTGATGCTCTGATAAACCTGGGCTATCCAGGTCAGGGCTAATAGCGCGTAGCAGTTTCCATTAGAGTTCTCCTGCTTCGTTTGGGTTTGGCATCTCAAACGAGGGACATCTCTGAAGCTTTTATTTATTTATCCAATCTATACCCCGCCCTCCCCGCCAAGGCAGCATTCCAATTTATTTCATTGATGCCTTTGCTTCACGCAAAGGCAGACGATCAGTTGAAGATGCTTTCGTCGGCAGGCGATTTGAACGATAAGACCTGTCATGCCGAAATAGCAGTGCAGATCTGCAGCGAAACATTACAGGGGACTGATGCGCGAGAGGACCAAAACCACTGTGCTTCTCGCCTTTAGGCTGCTGCGTCGTTAACCAGCCACCGCCAGTCGTGGTTGCCGGGATCTTCTCCAGCGAGCCCGCCTCGACCATCTGCCCCTGTTGCCGTCAGATCATCACCACCGAGGTTGTCTTCCGCGTGGGATCGCTGACCTACGCTCTCTGCACTTGTATGTGCATGGTGGGGTAAGCGCTTTTAAAATAGTACCTCATCAGATTGTGACTCTCCAGGGTCGCAGGCAGAGGTCTTTCACATCGCCTCCTGGCTGGTCTTTTTTAACTGGAGATGCCGGGGATTGAACGTGGGACCTTCTGCATGCCAAGCAGAGGCTCTGCCACTGAGCCATGGCCCCTCTTGGCAGCTCTCCAGGGTCTCAGGAGGAGGTCTTTCCCATCACCTCCTGCCTGGTCCTGTTTACCTGGAGATGCCGAGGATTGAACCTGGGACCTTCTGTGTGCCAAGCAGAGGCTCTGCCACTGAGCCACAGCCCCTCTTGACAGCTCTCCAGGGTCTCAGGTGGAGGTTTTCCCCATCACCTACTGCCTGGTCCTTTTTAACTGGGGATGCTGTTGGGGATTGAACCTGGAAGAAGGGAAAGAAAGAGAGAAGGGAAAGAAAGAGAGGGAGAGAAGGGAAGGGAAGAAGGGAAAGAAAGAGAGAAGGGAAAGAAAGAGAGAGAGAGAAGGAAAGAAAGAGGAAAAGAGAGAAAGGAAGGAAGAAAACGAAAGAGAAAGGAAAGGAAAGGAGAGAAGGAAAAGAGAAAAAGAAAGAGGGCAAAGAGATGGGGGGAGGGCGGCTCTCCCACCCCACCCCTGCCCCCGCCTCCCTCGTGGATCCCTCACGCGCGTTGCTCAGTTATGGCAGCACTCCAGCGCGGCCCCTGAGAGGCCAGCAACGGGCCTCCTCGGGGCCACAGTGCTCCAGCACGGGCCCCAGACCGACGATGGGCCTCCTTGGGGCCGGGGAGCTGGGGGCGGGGCTTGCTGCCACCACCATTTGTGCCAGCTCCTGGGCTGCCGGAGCAGTGCTCTGGGTTTGTAAACTGCTCTGAGACTCTGAGTGAAGGGTGGGGTGTAAATCCAATCTCCTCCTCCTCCTCCTCCTTCTTCTCCACCCCCACACCTCACCTCTCCTCTCTTGCAGCTGCTGCCTGGGCTGCTGCCTGATCCCCTTCGCTAGCAAATGCTGCAAGGACGTGGACCATTACTGCCCCTGCTGCCGCTACCACATCTACCGCTACAAGAGACTATAGAGCCTTCCGGTGCCTCCTGCCCTGGTGGACTCGTCGGCCCCACCCTGAAGGCCTGTCAGGAGACGCCCTCCTCTGCTCTCCACTTCACCGTTGCCCGCCGCCGTCTCTCGAACTCGGCTCTTCGGAAGAGGGTGCCGCTCGGCGGGGCCACCGCGTCCACTAGCCGCTCCTCCGCTGTACCTTCCCCACCCTGAGGTTGCCAGCTCTGGTTCTGGGAGATTCCTGGAGACCTGGACGGCGTGTTCGGAGATGCTGGCGTTTGGGGAGGGAGCTGGGAGGGGGTGGGGATGCGATGCCCCACGCAGGCCGCCCTGCCGAGCTGCCGTTTCCTCCCAGGGAACTGATCTCTGTGGGCTGCTGGAGACCTCTTGTCGTTTCCAAAAAACTGCAGGCCCCACCTGGAGACCGGTAGCCCTCAGTGGTCCCTCTAAGCTGAGTGAGTGTGAGCTAGCTCACCGTTTTTTAGCCTCCAGCTCACACACTTTTATCTCAGCTCAGGAAGGAGGGCTTCACCACGAACTAATTTATGCCGCTGCTGAACAGCTCACTCACAACTTTCATGCCGGTAGCTCACAAAGCAGAATTTTTGCCCACAGGACTCCATAGCTTAGAAGAGAAGAAGAAGAAGAGATTGGATTTATACCCCGCCCTTCACTTGGAGTCTCAGAGCAGCTTACAAACTCCTTTCCCTTCCCCTCCCCACAACAGACACCCTGTGAGGTTGGTGGGGCTGAGAGAACTCTAACACAAACTGCTCTTTTTCAAGGACAGCTGTGCCAGAGCTTGTGACTAGCCCAAGGTCACATCAGCAGGTGCAAGTGGAGGAGTGGGGACTCAAACCCGGTCCTCCCAGATTAGAGTCCGCATACTTAACCACGACACCAAACTGGCTCTCGAGGGAGCATTGGTAGCCATACTCCCTGCTGGCGCCCTCCTCGGCTTTTGGGCCTTCTCCTGCAAACTCCCCCTTCAGTTCCTTCCCAGAGCCTGCTCGGATCCGGCTCACTCACATTCTCGCACCTCGTCTAGGATCCTGCCCGAAGACTGATTCACCCAGAAAGCCTCCAACGCGGGCCCAAATATGCCTCCCTCTTGACTTTCCCTGCTCACTTATAGATTGGCGGCCTTGGGCAAAAGTCTTTTTTCGGGAGATGAGAAAGACACTGTGCATGAGAGGTGCTGGTCCAATTGCCAGCTCCGGGTTGGGAAATACCTGGAGATTTGGGGGGGGGGTGTTGGAGCCTGAGGAGGGCGGGGTTTGAGGAAGGGGAGGGACTTCCGAGGTGGTGTGATACCACAGACTCCGCCTTCCAAAGCGGCCATTTTCTCCAGGGGAGCTGATCTCTGTCGCCTGGAGATCAGATGTAACCCCAGGAGATTGAACCAAAATTAAGAAACAACCGCGGTGGCACTGGGGATTTATCCTCTGGTTAAACATCTGAGCTGAACAGGACTGCTGTCATTTCGAGCCCCGCACTGGTGTGAGCTACCAGCCGTGTCCCCAGCTCGCCGTCCACCCAGCGGTTCGAAAGCTTCGGCGAGTAGATAAAATCGGTACCACTCCTTAGAGAGGGTGGGCACACTTAACCCCCCCGGTGGGAAAGTGTTAGCCGACAAACGGAAGGTCCGCGCGTAAGATCAAAAGCCGAGAGAGATCTACGCAGCATCAAAGAAAAGCCTGCAATGGGCCCTTCCGGCCAGACGGTGGCAGTGGTGCGCTGCGACTGAGAAAAATGCTGACGAAATCAAGCGACGCCGACTAAAGAATGCTGCCAGAACACGTCTGATGCTTACAGCTGACCAAACTCCCTGTCGACTGCGAAGTGTGTGCGATTAAAAATGATATATGTTGTCCTCCCTTACCCCCATCATTGTTAGTCCCGTGTCAACACATGAGTAACTGTAAATCACTCAGAGCCGGCAGCTCTGCAAGGATTGAGTGATCAATAAATTGAAATATTATTATTATTTATTAACTATGAGCCAGAACGGGTGTTTCCTTGAAAGTAAACATTGTCCTTCTGTGGAAAGATAAGAATTGCTGCTTATCACATCTCCACACTTATAATAGAAGAAAAAGAAGAGGAGGAGGAAGAGGAGGAGGAGATTGGATTTATACCCCGCCCTTCACTACCCGAAGAAGTCTCAGAGTGGCTTACAATCTCCTTCCCCTTCCCCTCCCCACAACAGACACCCTGTGAGGCAGGTGGGGCCGAGAGAGCTCTCTTGAGGACTGCTCTTGAGAGAGCAGCTCTGAGGGAACTGTGACTGACCCAAGGTCAAACCAGCAGCTGCAAGTGGAGGAGTGGGGAATTAACCCCAGTTCTCCCAGATTAGAGTCCGCGCTCCTAACCACTACACCAAACTTGCTGTCCAGTTGGGGAAAAAAGTCCCCTCTGGAATTCTACATATTGAATTAATTTTTTGGTGGCACAGAGCACTTTAAGGATTTGTTAAATTTGAATTACCATGGAACTCTGCAACTGAACTGACCATCGCACCTTATGAAGGGTCTCTCTATTTAACCTACTAGGCGCGTTAACTTTGAATTGTATTTATGGTCTTTCTGTGATATTGATTGATGTTAATATAGTTGTCAATGTTTCATAGTTATTGTTTCACTTTTTTCTTAATTTTAGTTCATATAAAAATGACACTGTTATACTCGACCTGGAGGTTGGCGACTCTAGATTCTGGATCTGGAAGCCAGTTTCTTTTGACAAGGAACCTTTGTGTTATACTAAGCGATGCTGGGAAAAAATTAACACAGCTCTGTAGAGAGAGAGAAAGTCCTGGTTTGTCTTTCGTCTGCCTGGCGTTCCTTATTTCCCAGTACAGAGAGTGATGTATATTCGGCAGAGTGGGAACATAAGACGCTAAGCCTGGCTCTTGAGATCACCACAAAATATTTCTTTAAAACATATGTAGAACTCCTCCTTACTATCAAAAGGTTTTCCCGAATATCCAGCCGGTACCTTCCCGCCCTTAACTTAAACCCATTCTTGCAAGTCCTCTCCTCTGCTGCCCACAGGAACAGCCCCCTGCCCTCCTCTAAGGGACAGCCCTTCCGATACTTCAAGAGAGCCATCCTGTCCCCCCCCCCGCCTCCTCTTCTCCAGACTGGACATTCCCAATTCCCTCAACCTTTCCTCACAGGGCTTGGTCTCCAGGCCCCCGATCCTCCTCGTTGCTCTCTGTCCACGTCCTCTTTGAAGGGAGGCCTCCAGAACTGCACACAAGACTCCAGGTGCGGCTTGACCAATGCAGTGTACAGCGGGACTATCACATCTTGCAATTTGGATGTTATTATGCCTCTGGTGATACACCCCAGGACCGCATTCGCCTTTTTTATCGCTGCATCCACCTTACTATCCTAGAGTCCAGTCCACAGTCCTCTAGTTTACCCATCAGAACATCATGGGGAACTCCCCCCCGCTGGCAGTCTCTTCAAGCAGTGGCTGCACAAACACTTGTCAGGGATGCTCTAGGCTGATCCTGCACCGAGCAGGAGGTTGGACTAGATGGCCTTTGTGGCCCCTTCCAACTCTATGATTCGGTTCCAAAGCAGTATTCCAGAGATCCTTCCCGTGAGTTCAACGGCTAACAGCAAATCTTACCTTGGCGAACAGATGAAGCTGCAGGGAAAAGGTCAAGGTTTCGGGTCCCTCCCCACAATTGCATTCTCGAGTCTTGTGACTGGAAGAGCAGAGGATTTGAACGTGGGACCTTGTGGAAGAGTTCAGCCCGAGTGGCTTTCCCTCGATGCTGAGGCTAGAGGCTCTCAGACCATCTGTATGGATGGGCCGGCCTGCCTTCCACCTGCTGGTATAAATGGGCCTTCTCCCCTCTTGAGAACTTTTAAAAGTCACCCACAGAGCCATTTCCCCCCCTGCCAAATTTCATGAGCCTGGCAGGCTGAAGTGGGTATTTGAGCACCATCTAGTGGCGACTTCGAAGTTCTGCAAGCCCGAAGCAGGCCAACATTTTTCAGGATGGCCCTTCATAAGAACATAAGAGAATCCAGTGTTGGATCAGGCCAATGGCCCATCCAGTCCAACACTCTGTGTCACACAGTGGCCAAAAATACCAGGTGCCATCAGGAGGTCCAGCAGTGGGGCCAGGACACTCGAAGCTCTCCCACTGTTGCCCTCCCCCCTACAAGCACCAAGAAACAGAGCATCCCTTGCCCCAGACCGAGACTTCCTATCTATACCTTGTGGCTAATAGCCACTGATGGACCTCTGCTCCATAGGTTTATCCAATTCCCTCTTGAAGCTGTCCATGCTTGTAGTTGCCGCCACCTCCTGTGGCAGTGAATTCCATGTGTTAATCACTCTTTGGGTGAAGAAGGACTTTAACCCGACTGCCCAGCAATTTCATGGAGTGCCCACGAGTTCTCGTCTTGTTAGAAAAGGAGAAAAGTACTTCTTTCTCGACCTGCTCTATCCCATGCATAATCTTATAAACCTCTGCCACCCCTCAGCCATCGTTTCTCCAAGCTAAAGAACCCCAAACGCCTTAACCTTTCTTCATAACCATCCTTCCTAAGATTTTTTTAAAAAGTGAGCCGGAGGCTTAAAAACTGTGAGCGAGCTCACACTAACTCAGCTTAGAGGGAACACCGACCAAGACCGCTATGGAGCCAGAGAACCTTTCCTGTGAGGAAAAAAGGCTGAGGAGACTGGGATATTTCAATCTAGGAAAAAGGGGACTGGAAAAGGGGGGGGGAGATAGAGTGTGATCGAATTACGCATGGGGGTAGGAAAAAATGGATAGCTTTTTCTCCCTGTCCCGTAATACTTGAACTCGGGGCAGGGCACCCGATGAAGTCCACGAACAACAGATTCAGGGCACACAAATAGAAGGAACTCTGTCCGTGGTGAGGGTTGAATAAGGAGCTGGGATTCTTCGCTCACTGCAGAGGGTAGTTTTCTCTGCCCCCCAAGTATTTCTCCCCTGCTCTGACGGAGCGGATTACATTTTGCGTTGCACCTTTGCATCCCGACTCCCTTCTCTTCGACATCCCTCCCAGCTTCTGACTGGGAATAGAAGGGCTCAAAGATCTTGAAGGCCTATACCAGTGATGGCGACCCTTTTAGAGACCGAGTGCCCAAACTGCGACCCAAAACCCACTTATGTATCGCAAAATGCCAACCCGGCAATGTAACCTGAATACTGAGGTTTTACTTCAGGAAAAACAACTCATACATTACCTTGAGATGATCCAAACAAAGTAAGGAAAGCGATCCCAAATGCTTTCATTGACTTAAAATTATTTGGCAGAGAATTCGACACTTTAATGATGGTCTGGGCCTGGCTGGGGCGATGGCACGGCTGCCCACAGAGAGGGCTCTGAGTGCCACCTCTGGCCCCCGTGCCATAGGTTCGCCACCACTGGCCTATACCCTGGAAACCTGGTTGGCCGGCTATCCACTTGAGTC